GTCAACTCCTTCAAGGATTATTCAACTTTTTATTGACTCACTAAACAAGAGGTATAATTAATATACCAAGTATGTTAGATTATTCAACTTTTTATTGACTCACTAAACAAGAGGTATAATTAATATAATTGGTATGTTAATAAAGATGATGATGAACACAGTAATACCTTGGTTATTGTCTGTTTCGGTTTTTGTCAATTTTTTCCTCAAAAAATTTGTTTTTGTTGGCATACCTATGTGACCTTGATGCTAAGTTTGCGAAAACAAACAGCAACCCATATGTTTTCCTGCTTGGTGTGGCGTTGTGTGAGCATTACCCCACATGTCTAGCCAAACAATTCCATTGCTTTCCTTTCCTTTCAGCTCCATTATGGGATGAAAGAAAGTTTTCAGNCTATGTGACCTTGATGCTAAGTTTGCGAAAACAAACAGCAACCCATATGTTTTCCTGCTTGGTGTGGCGTTGTGTGAGCATTACCCCACATGTCTAGCCAAACAATTCCATTGCTTTCCTTTCCTTTCAGCTCCATTATGGGATGAAAGAAAGTTTTCAGAACTAGCAGTCCTTTGAAGAAGGCCAGGAACGTGATCGAGTTGAAGGAAATCATTGAAAAATATCAGAGCGGCATTAAGATTGCTGAAATCGGCTACATGTATGGGAAGTTGTCATCTATGATAAGTTCTATTGTGACAAAAAAGAAAACAATAATAGGAGGCTAATGTGCTAACAAAACAGAGATTGCAAACAATTGAAGATGTTGAACAGTTACAGTCGACCCCCCTATAAGATCATTGATTTTTCCGTTTTATCTGAATTACATGTTGTACGAGTCACTTAGATTTTACAAATACGTGTGCCGGACTGTGAATGGCTCACATATTTGTAAAATCTAAGTGACTCGTACAACATGTAATTCAGATAAAACGGAAAAATCAATGATCTTATAGGGGGGTCGACTGTATTATTAATTTGGATCAATCAAAAACAGTTAGTTGGCAATTTTGTTTTGGAGGTAATCATGCTAGTCTTTTATATTCATTTTATATTAATATCTTATTGTTTTTAGTATTGAACTCTATATTTTGGAGTGTCTATAGTAATGTCTTCATTCTTAATGTATCTGTAATGCAGGTATACCTCGAGTTACATCGTTCTTGATTATACATCGTTTGTCAAAAAATATATGGAAAAATAAAAATCAAGTTTAAGTCATTTTATTTGACTTTACGTTCATCTGCCACAAATATTGAAGTCGTAATATCACTAGAAAAGCATTGAAGCACACAAAATCATATTAAAATATGTATAATTACAGTAAATGTTAATATAATCATCATAAATCCTAGAGAATGGAACATGAAAACATCTGTGTTTGTGTTGTAGTCTTATTTAGTGGTCTTTAAGTGCTCAATATTGCCGTTTTCCACGGTAGCTTCAATATCTACTGTTTGGCATTGTTGTCAGCACCACTTGATATTGGTAAATTTAATATAAATTAGTTTATTTTCTACTGTCGCAAGATAATTTATAACTGTAATTTAACCTTACAAAATCGTATTATTTTATAATGTCTTAGAGCAAATCACATTCACAAATAGAGTCCGCGATGTACTGTAAACATCGCCAAATTGTAAATATGTACTGTACACACATGAATTGTAAATTTAGATTAATTTTTTCTGTACTATATTAAAAACTAAAATTTATTTGTTTGTAAGCTTAAAATAGATTCTTATTAACAATATATTATTAAAAATGCATTTATAAATAAAATACAAAACTGGTAATGGTTATTTATGGTTTAGCCTAGTGACAAGTAAATTCTGAGACAAGTAAATTTGACTTACGTCATTTTTCGACTTAAGTCACCTCTCCTGGAACCAATTACTGACATAAAACGAGGTATACCTGTACTTTGACTTTTTTTTTTTTCCACAAATCACCACAAATAGAAGTCTCAGAATTTAGAAAAATGTATAACTTGATGATAACTGTTAAAAACAATTGAAAACATTAATGCATACAAGTATACTGGTAAAACATTAATTATTAATTGAATTTCTGAAAGATATTTGAACTGTTGATCATTTTATTTTAGTTTTAAGCACAGGTTCTCAAACTTATTTCGACTACTGCCCACTTTGAGATTTAAAAAAAAGTCTAGTTTCCCATATTTTTTAACTTACGTAACAGATGGTAATTTAAAAAGGTATCTTAAAAACAGTTATTGCAAATGTAATGTTTAAACATGCATTATTATATGGATAGGATAGATATGGTGTGACCCATATTTTATTTCTGAGAAAAAAGAATGTTTCATTGAGAAGAAATAAAACTCACATTTAATCACTGAGCCTTCTACTGCTTCCCCTGAAAGCCTCTAGCACCCACAAGGGGTGCTAGAGGCTTTATTGCCTACTTTGAGAAAGGATGGTTTTAAGCATTCAGTTGCAATCTAGTATGATTGATTCATGGTTATGCCAAGAAATATAGAAAAGTAGCCCAACAGACATGTTAGATAGTCATGTATTTGTCAGTAAACTTTGCATTTGTATCAATTTATTTTATAAATTAAAGATTCACTGAGTACATTCTGCTCTTATAAAACATTTTCATTTTAGATTTTGCAATAAAGGACAGAGATGGATTTCATGTTGATGATGATAAATGTGAATTACCTTCTACCTTGCTGTATCAGTTAACCATATACAACATTATGTATTTGTTGGAAGTTATGAAGCTACTTTAACTCACCTTGTATATTTTTGATGGTCACTTGTCTCAACAAATTAGTGAATGACTTTTGTATGTTTTCAGTAAAATATCTTTTGTGATAAGCTATTGGCATACTACAGAATTCTATGTTATTCCTATATTAAAAAGAATAAATAAAAGAATTATGAATATAGGAGTAACCCTTAGTAAGGCCATATTGAAGATACTGGGTAAACTTCATACTTGATGCCCTTGATTCAACATTAATTACAAAAAGTTCTATGGGCTTTTAATTCTGCAGATTCATTTTGGAACCTCCAAGTGCCCCAGAACAGAACCCTCTGCCCTTAAGTTTCTAACCCTTAGCAATATAGTCTGCTTTCTTATGTCTCTTCCGGTTAGGCAAAACACACAAAAAAGTAGTACTATTTTTCATTCACAACTGTTACCTGAAAACAAACTAAAGAATATCTTATTCACTTACTGGAAGTAATGACAAACACGAAAAAAACCTTTAAAATCCAGTAACACAAATAAAACTTTTAATAAAAAGTAAAAAGTAAACAAATGCTTTCAACTTTAATGAAGGTCTACTTCAGGTTTGTAAATCAACAGAATTCTAAAATTTGGAATGCATAGAACCGAACATTTTGAAAAATATTTTTAAACAATTTGGAACATATGACACAAATATTATAAGTGCATCAATTCAAGATATATGTAAAAACAAGATATATGCACAAGTTATTATAGGAACATTCCAATTTTGGAATTCCATTGGTTTACAAACCTGAAGCTGACCTTGGTTAAGGTCGAAAGCATTTGTTTGATTTGTGTTACTGGATTTTAAAGGTTTTTTTTGTTTGTGTTTACCTGAAAACATTATAATCTGTATATACATTTAGTAAATATCCTTTATTCTTGCTAATCTGAACTTGTATTCAAATTAGCAATGTAATATGTATTGAATCAATATCCAAATGACCAGCCATTTTCAGTTTTGCTAGTAAAGCCAAACTTGGAAAAAGCAGAATGACACATTGTTAAACTTTATAGTGCTTCTGGAACTGAGTTGAGTGCCACCCGTATGCAGGAAAAGAAAACTGCTTCAGGAAAACATGTGCGTCTGGGTTGGACACTTACTATTTTCTTCAGTGCTTGTTTTCTTCCTGTGATAATGAACCACAGCTTTCTGCCACACAAAACTTCAAAAAGTAACTGTTGTATGGTCGGTTGTAGTGTTACCTATATTACTGCGCCGCCAGGTACAAAGTTTTATTCGTTCCCGAATGAACAATACCCTGGCAAAAAAGCATTAAAAACATTATATTATTATGCATTCCACTAAAGTACTTGATTATGTGTTGCTTTATAAATTTATTGTGTTCAAATTGCAAGCAAATTATTTAAGTATGTATATAAAACAACTTCAAAAAACAACTTCAAAAAACCAAAATTATAAAACAACTTCAAAAAACTATTATAAAACAACTTCAAAAAACCAAAATTAAAATGTCAATTTTTTTATAAATATCACTTTTGGACAGTTGTTTTTATGTTCAAGTATGTCTTGTATTTTTAAGGGCTGTATTTTAAAATCTTTCCAATGGTGTACAATAGGTAACCTATTGTACACCGTGGTTTTAAAAAACAGAACCATAGTATTGCACTGAAGAGGGACTTAACATTTATATAAGTTCAAAATGCATATGTGGAAACAATAAAGTGTCTAACCTGAAAGCTGTAATGATAGTCTACCGAACTTAATGTCGGATTAAAGAGACAAGACACACTTGAAATCAATTTTTTTAATTTGATTACATGACACAAATGGAATCGCCTTGTTCATTATTTGTTTCTAATTGTAAATGCACATCATTCATTCTCGTATTGATAACTATGCAAATGTTGAAGAAAAAAGAAATACCTTAATTTCAACATGGTAGGATTTCTTGGAAACAATGGTTTGGGAAACAACTTCTCCAGTGATGATAATTGAACCTTGATTCATGTTTGGATATGTATTCTTGTCCAAGGAAATTGCTATTAGTTTGGAAACATGTCCACATTTAAACAGTTGCGCTCCTTTTTTTTAAATTACTTTTTCTCAAGGTTTCGGTAGAGATTGCACAAAACCGCACTGCCTTCTAAGAAACATTATTTGTTCGTTCCGAAAAGGAGAAGCACATGCCGCCAGGGTTGTTCCAAGTCTTTCTTAAAAAGGTACTAAAACGAATACTAGATAACAAAAAATGGTACTAAGTTTTTTTAATTATAATTAATTAAAAAATTTACCAGTAATGTGCAATAATATTTTTTTAAATATTAATAATATGACATACATACTGTATGTGCAGAATCAATACATTAAGTCAAAATGATCTACAGTCACTTCTCGAGTTACAACCACCTCGACTTAAGACGAAAAAATTTCATAAAACATTTTTAAAATGTATCAATTTTTTATAGTTTTCATCAAATATATATATCATATACATATATATCTTGGATGCTTCTGGCGATTGATTGCATCATCATTAGTTTTGTTCTACAGTTATGCATGAATCTTTGCATGTGCTTGTGTAAGATTGTTTTGTTGTAAGTAACGTCATTTCTTGACTTAAACCATTTCAATTTACATCAAAGTTGAAGAACCGAACCCCGTCGTAAGTCGAGAAGTGACTGTATTGACTAATGTAGGCATTACTTTGACCATAAACTGCTGAATGTATGTATATATTATATATTATTTAAATATATACTTATAAATAATATATAAATGTATAATTTATCAAATTTCTATTTATTAAAATATATATTATGTTACGTGTAACATACAAAATTCATACAGAATAAATTCATATATTGCAAGAATGCTATTTTTCCTCAACAACAATCAAATGAACAAAATGTTGAAACAAAAGTAATGAACATGAAGTACTAAACTTTAAAATTATCACATTGAAAAATCACTGGTAACATCATCAGAATCTTCCTCACTAGAATGTTTTTGTATGGTTGAAGCAGATAATGGTTTCCAAGTGTAACATTTTATCATTGTTACTTTTAAATAACTCCTTTGCTAATAACAGTAATTAGTAAGAACTCTATTTTTGTAGTTTAGTTTTTATTAAATTTAATTGCAAAAAAATATGTTCAACTTCTGCACTTGAATGAAGAAGCAATAAAACATCTATTTACTGCCAAAGTAAAGCAAAAAAATATAGAATAAAAATGAATGTTTTGAAAGGTGTTAAATTGAAAGGAAGGGTATTAGGATTTCATGAATAGTACTAGGAAAATTGTGTTGGGTATCTTGGTACTGAAACAAGTAAAAAGGTACTAGATTAGTGCAAAAGTACTAGGTAGAACAACATACTGGTGCAATTTTTGTAGCCCCAATTTTGTTACCCTGTGTCGCTGCTAGAGGTGCCTCGATCTAGTTTCACAGTTCCTTCCACTAGCTCTATAGAATGTAAATAATATCCACTAACCTGTTTTTTAATTAAAGCCAAACAATATACTGGATTATCAGGCTATTTTATGGCTAATTTTAATAATGAAATAAACAATAATTTGACTGGAGATAGAGGTTACTGTTTAATTATTAAAATTTGCCTTAAAATAGCTTGATAATCTGGTATATTGTTTGGCTTTAGCTTTAAAGAAGTTGTTTAACAAACAACAACAAGGCAGCAGTTATTCTTTAGAATAAAGTTTACTTATGTCTGTCCACACCTAAAAATGGCCCATTAACCAGGTTGAAAATTTTGGTATTTCATCATACTGTTAAAGGTATTTGTTCATTAACAATAAATGTGATGCAGTCAATAAGGTACCTTAAGTTGGAAAAGTAAATTTTACTATAGAGCAAAAATGTGAACAAGGTCAAACTTGTCAATTTTTAGGCTTTGAAACCAGACATTATATTAATGTATAATCAGTGCTAGGAAAGATTGCATTTGTCAATACCAACTGTACCTAGATTAGGCTTGATAAGGTGACAGGTTATGATAGTTCTGTGGTAATTTTGTTATAAATGTGAGTACTTTAGCTGAGTGAGCTTTATCAATTGTAATGTAATTTTTCCTCAGGGCATTTGTGTAAACAAAATGAACACTTTGTAGCCTGCAAATAATTGGAAAGTAGAGGAGGGTTATAGTGATGATCTATGGATTTAACAGTCAGCAACAACTGGAGAGGTAGTTAGGATTTTTTCTGATCTAATGAGTGTTTTCATCAAAAAAAGAAAGCCTTTAAATAGACTTCGAGTGCAAATTATTTTCATGCTGCCCTGGTGGAAAATATTTACATAACACATAGGAGAAAAATCCAAAGAGTTTCTTCTCTGTACAAACCCTTACCAAAGAAAGAAAAAAAAAAGAAAGGGTTTCTTGGTACAGAAAAATCAAGTAAAGGTTTTTAATTTCAACTTACCAAATTTTAAATGTTTTAATAAAATATACAATTAAAAATAGAACTTTCATTAACTGGAGTGTAATTTTCCTCTTTTAGTCAATAATGTCTGATATGCCTANTCTTCTCTGTACAAACCCTTACCAAAGAAAGAAAAAAAAAAGAAAGGGTTTCTTGGTACAGAAAAATCAAGTAAAGGTTTTTAATTTCAACTTACCAAATTTTAAATGTTTTAATAAAATATACAATTAAAAATAGAACTTTCATTAACTGGAGTGTAATTTTCCTCTTTTAGTCAATAATGTCTGATATAATTTTAACATGTGGTTTTCAACCAGTCCATACTGACAAATTTTTTACACCTTTGAGATGGAAGAAAGGAATTTTACTTGCAAAGGCTAAGCATATAGCTGCAATTAAAGAAATTAAAAACAATGGAGGAAGTACAGTTACAGCTAGTTGCCTATTCCAAATGAAAATGAATGAGAAATCATATTTGTATTATGGCATTTTTTACATTTAAATTGCTAATTTGTACTTCTAAATAATTTTAGATGTCAGCGTAACCTCTCTGCAATAAACAAACAGGATGACAACAAAATTGTATATTGCTACTTTTATTAAGCTATATACTGTTGAATTTTTCTTTAATAAAAATATTTCATACATGTTTTGCAAATTATTTTTAATAAAATTAATTTTCAGT